GCTTAGAAAATAGTGTATGAATATTTATCATCCATGTACTCTACGCTGATAGCCTCTGGTCACAATTCTCTATTTATGGTCATATGCGTAGAAACAGGGAGAAGACATGGCGGTCTGTGGCTATCAAACTTAAATGAAACGAAGTCTTTCCCTTTGTGTTATGTCCCTCTGCCCGTGGGCGCACTCAAAGAGAGTGCCACGCGCCCCCTCTCATTAGAAATTTTGTGCTGCGTCATTATGCATGTGAAAACATATGGAGGGTTAAATAATCAAGTTAGCCAGATCAAAATAAGTCAACTAAAGAACACACACACTGGCTTACGTCATACAAGACATATCGCACCTGCGGTGCTAGAATGGTTTTCAGTAAACAATTTGAAGCTGTACGCCTCATTGCGGACGCCTGCAAGCATCCAAGCCTAAGCGCTGCATTCTGACACTCATGGCATGTCCTGTGTGGTCGTTCGGTGTCACCTCTCTCTCTCTGCCTCCCTCTCTTCTCTCTATCCTCTCTCTCTTTTTTCCCCCTCTTAATCTCTCCTCTCTCCTCCTCTCTCTCTCTCCCCTCTCTCTCTTCTCTCTCTCTCTCTCTGTCTTTTCTCTCTCGCTCTCTCTCTCGCTCTCTTCTCTCTCTCTCTCCCTCTCTCGCCTCTCTCTTCCTCTCTCTATCCTCTCTCTCCCTCTTCTCTCTCTCTCTATCTCTCTCTCTCTCTCTCTCTCTCTATCTCTCGTCTCTCCCGCTCTCTCTCTCTTCTCTCTCTCTCTCTCTCTCTCTCTTCTCTCTCTCTCTCTCTTCCTCTCTCTCTCTCTCTCTCTCTCTCTCTCTTCTCTCTCTCTCTCTCTTCTCTCTCTCTCTCTCTCTCTCTCTCTCTCTCTCTCTCTCTCTCTCTCTCTCTCTCTCTCTCTCTCTCTCTCTCTCTCTCTCTCTCTCTCTCTCTCTCTCTCTCTCTCTCTCTCTCTCTCTCTCTCTCTCTCCTCTCTCTCTCTCTCTCTCTCTCTCTCTCTCTCTCTCTCTCTCTCTCTCTCTCTCTCTCTCTCTCTCTCTCTCTCTCTCTCTCTCTCTCTCTCTCTCTCTCTCTCTCTCTCTCTCTCTCTCTCTCTCTCTCTCTCTCTCTCTCTCTCTCTCTCTCTCTCTCTCTCTCTCTCTCTCTCTCTCTCTCTCTCTCCTCTCTCTCTCTCTCTCTCTCTCTCTCTCTCTCTCTCTCTCTCTCTCTCTCTCTCTCTCTCTCTCTCTCTCTCTCTCTCTCTCTCTCTCTCTCTCTCTCTCTCTCTCTCTCTCTCTCTCTCTCTCTCTCTCTCTCTCTCTCTCTCTCTCTCTCTCTCTCTCTCTCTCTCTCTCTCTCTCTCTCTCTCTCTCTCTCTCTCTCTCTCTCTCTCTCTCTCTCTCTCTCTCTCTCTCTCCCAGACACACATATCCATAACTCCCGTCCACATGGTGATGTTGGCTATTTTTCCCATCAGTTATTCAATGCCCCTTGGAACCAGACCCTCTTTGCACTGTGTTACATTTTCACAGTAGACCTGATTTATGTATTGACCTTACGTTAGATGACAGCAGCCCACAAATCTTCTCGGAGAATCTTGCATCTACTCGGGAGTCTTCCGGACGGTTCGGACATTGTTGTCATTCCCTGCACAGCGCGCCGGCGCGCAGCCCAGGCTCTAAAAGCCGCCACATTCCCCGAGCCAGGCAGGCAGCGGCGGCGGACGTGGCGCCCGTGCCAGCGCCGGGAGTGTCTTCCACGACGCCGCCGATCCGGAGCCGGGCCCTGCCGGGCTCCGTCGAGCCACCACCTGCAGCCGATCAAAGCGGAAGCCGACGGCGCCGCGCTGCGGTCTTCTGTTCACTTAGGAGGGGGAGAGGGTCTGGATGTACGGACCCGTGCTTTTCGCTAACGAACGGCACTGATTCAGAACGCCTCCCCAAGTTAAAAACGCGGCCATGGACCGTGGCTGTTTGTTCCAGATTCATGCTTTTGTTTATTACGTAGGTGGTACCCTAGACGATGATCTATGGTGAATCGCTTGCACCGCGTAATATGCCGTGCGATCTCTTGGTATGTGGCTATGACATCACGCTGCGGAATCTAGCCGCGAGGAAAAACGTGCCAGAGATAAAGGTCGGCTATGCCGCCGTGATGTGCTCCGACCTCCGCCAACCAGATTTTACACCAGTTGTTGCGTTGTGTAATCGGACAGAAAGGTTTTCCCCATGGAGCCGGCGCGCTGCACGACAGACGACGATCACAGCGTGCTCCCTATTAGGCACCATCGTAATGGAGTGTAAGATTGTGAACTTGCACAACATGATGAAGTAGTAAATGGGGGGACTCAGGCCGCCTGCGAGGATCTCATGCAAACGTAATAAAAGAATGCGCAAGTTGTGGCGAGCTGATTCTGCCGCAACTGTGTCCTCACAGCCGGAGTTTGGGAACCTAATCGGAGGAACAAGCGTAGGTCACGCTGCTCACCTCACAGTTTCGGTTAGAAATCTGGCGAAATGACGTCACCAAGTGTCATCTGTCCTCTGCATGTGAAAATGCAGGTCAGCGTGTGAATTCTCTCTGCCAGACATGGCACGGGGGTAGAGCAGGATGACCGTCAAGCCGTCGCCGGTCTCCCCTCATGCGTGTCGCTGCACTCCTCCGCACTCCCTCTCCACAGCCCCGACTATAGCCCAGTGACAAACGACAAGCAACAATTCACTTCGTAGCGTTCAATGGCCCAAATGATTTCCAAGGTACTCTTGTTCATCCCCCATCACATCGTTTACGTACTCACTTTGAGCGCGGACCGGCGAGGTCACGGGGTCAGCGTCACGTCTCTCCTGTGTGCGGCGCGAGGCGGCTCTGAGTCATGCTCGGAGGTCGACCACAGCGGGCCCGGCCCACCCAGGACTCAGTAAACACGCGCCGCATGCGGTGCGTGCTGACCCCGAACAGACGAGACGAGGGTGCCGCCCATCGAGCCGCGCGGTGGGGCGGGGTGGGTAGCCACTCCGTCCAGGCGATGCTAATGACAGACATCGAGGAAGTAGTTAGTTGGCGCCGCGTCCTTCGCCACCATGGCCGAGTGCATCCTGAAGTGAGATATTCTGCGTGGAATGATGGTGGTTGACGCCGCCAGGCTAACGCTATTGGGATTTGGTTGAATAGCATGGCATAGATTATAACAAGGTGCAGTAAATCAGCGATACGTCAATAAGGCTTCCATCTTTAACGAATGATTAGCGAAACCGTCAGCTACTTGGCGATACAGCTAAAATAGCAATAGTTGGCGCAAAAGGTCCCAAAACTTCACCTCAATAGAAAAGCGAAAAGTAGCCAAACCTCAGATACAACAACGCAAGATGGATTCGTAGAGAAGAGACGTGATGAGCATGTCAAAGATCTGCTCAATCCAGATTACAATAAAGCCGTCCTTGTTTAGGGACTTCCACCATGCACATTTCCTATTCGCACGCAAAGCCCAAACGACCGCCATCACCACCGCCACTGAGTTTGCAGGCGCCTCTGATCACCGGGCTGGACGGCCCCCGGGCGGCACATCACGTGGTTCTGCGGAACGCTCGGCGCGCACCCGAAGGGCCGGCGGTGGGCGGTGACCGACCTCGTCGCCGAGCGCCGCCGCCAGCGCCACCACTGACACACTGCCGGGTATTGTCTCGCTGTTTGCCAGGTCATCAGCGGCGGTCCATTCGACCGCACCGCCGCCGCCGCCGCCGTCGTAGCCGACACCACCGGGACATTAGCTCGTTGTGTTGGCGGGCAGGGCCGCGGAGCCGGCCGCAGTGCGACCCTGACCGCCCGCAGCCCCCCCCCCCCCCCCCCCCTCGCCACGTCCTCCGACTCCGTGTCAGGTGGGCGTGGTCGGCCCCCCTCCCCCCTGCAGTTAATAGGCAGGTTGCCGGCGGCAGTGTGCGGCATGGAGAGCAGGACAGGGGGTGCCGTGAGTGCGGGAAAAACAGCCCCAGGACGAAGGCGACCCGCCGCCAGCAGGTCATGAATCTTACCTCGAGACAATGAACGTTAGCTCACCGTCGTAACCGCCGCGGCGGAGGCACCATTGTACTCGTGATGAGGTAAAGTGGCGCGTAATTGTCGATATTGAAGGTGTGGGCAGTGTTTGTGGTTACTTGGCCCCGTGCAGTGACGTCGACACATGCACTCCCGGGAGTGGACGCGTCACTGCGCAGCTGACAGACAAGTGATCAAGGGGCCTACGTGGTGCACGACCCGCTTGTGCTGCATTGTCCAGACATCACAAAAGAGAAAACGTTGGCATTGTCGCAGCGCCGGCAAGATAACAGGAAAGGCCGAACCCCAGAACAGCCGCGGAAATATCACCAGCACGCCGCCGCTGCGCGGAAAGCAAACCAGGAACCAGCGCCAGGGCACGACGTCCTTGCAGCCGCCATCTGCAAGTCAAGCGGCGCCTTATCTTCATGTCGGCCGCCGTGACCGGCGTGGGCACGCTCGTCGCTCATCTCTGGCGGTCGCCGGCCATCGCATCTTCCGGCGCCGTAAACACGAGCGACGCCGTCCCTGTGCCGGCGAAAAACGGCGCGACGCGCAGCGCCGACGGCGGCAAAAACGCCGCGCGGCCGGCCGGCGCGCTCGGCGGCGGGTGAGCCGCGTCGCACCGTGTTTGTCGCCGCGGCGAGCGTCGCGCCCGCTGTTTGCGAGTGCAGAGGGCGGCGTCGGCGACGGGAGAGGGGTGTCCTCAGATGTAATCGCGGGCTGTCGCAGATCTGCGCGGCCGAGGTGTCGCGGGGAGCGACGGGTGGCGCGCAACAGTGGCCGCCGGGTCACCAGTCGGCAGCAACGGGGACCTCGGAGGGATTGAGATGCAATCGCTGTCATGTGTCATTGGAGAACGGCTGTCAGTTGTCACAGAGGTCCGATTAAAGTCCGGTCACGGCGAGAAAGAGAGGGAGTGTATGCCATATTGCTTTTCCAGCAAGCTCTTTCAGCACTGGGTCGAGCAGCAGTATAGTGCTAACTTGTGTGTGGTTTGGTTTTGCTGACACTTTGGTGTGTATTGCGGCCGCCTGCCTGCTAAAACCAACTGCCAATGGTGGCGGGAATATGGTAATCACCACGTCCTTGCCTATTTAGTAGCATCTCGATGACTAGCTAAGTACCATTAGATCTCTTGCATCTTGCAAGTAATCGTTTTGAGTGAAGCTCAGCATAATTCGCTTTCAAGAACTGAACAAGGAATCTAAACAGCACGAGCAAAAAGACGTGGCATTGGGTACAAAGGCGACAAAGGTGACGACACCCCGGAAGAGCACTTGCAGGGCTCTCGAAATGTTACTAGCAGAGAATGCAGAGAACTGGCAAATTTACGCAAGCGACGAGTGTTTAAAACTTAAAATTCACACATTAGGTGCGTGTCTTGCGGCAGAAGAACGAATGAATGATAGAACATGATTACGATCTTCGATCCTAGCTATGGACAGGCTGGTAGCGGCCCTGACCGCGCCCAACAGTCCTCGGCTTGCAGGATGTCGTCTCGGGTTCGAGGCGCCGGTGCGGCGGCGCAGGCGCTGGCCAGGTCGGCTCAGAAGTAGAGACTGAGGTAGGCCTCCTTGTACTGCAGTTCCCGAATCTCGCGCTCCGACTTCAGCTTCAGCGCCGCGTCCGTGCCGTCGTGCTTGTGGATGTCGCTGCAGTCACGCACCTTCTGCACAAGCACACGAACAAGGAGCGGTGACGATAAGCACCTGGTGCATACGCACGCGAAGAAGGAGCAGGTGACGACGAACACTTTCTGCACAAGCACACAAAAAAGGAACGGTGACGACAAACACCTTCTTCACAAGCACACGAACAAAGAGCGGGTGACTGCAAACACCTTCTGCACAAGCACATGAACAAGGAGCGGTGACGACAAGCACCTGGTGCATACGCACACGAAGAAGGAGCGGTGACAAGCGCCCTTCTGCACAAGCACACGAAAAAGGAACGGTGACGACAAACACCTTCTTCACAAGCACACGAACAAGGAGCGGTGAAGACAAGCACCTTCTGCATAAGCACACGAGCAAGGAGCGGTGACGACAAACATCTTCTTCACAAGCACACAAACACGGAGCATTCGAACAACCATCTTCTTCGCACATGTAAATGTAAAGCGACGACACTAAGCACATCCTGCACACACACTCGAGCATGGAGCAGCGGCTAAATGTTCTTTTTGCACAAATAAGGAACGGCAACAACATGTAGCTTATCGCGAGTGCACACAGGCACACACACTCCAGGAGCATTGCTTTTGCAGAAACACACGAACACGGCTCAGAAGCAGCTAGAAGCCTCCTCACAACTGCGCGTATACTTGCAGTCATGCAGCAAAGTACATTGATTGCGTGCCATACGCTCATGGGTGCACTGCACCGCCAGACAGACACCAAGTAACGCAAGCAAATAGAACAGACAGCATTCCCTCTTAAAAGGTAGCATACCCCTAGAACAGACGGCATACTCATCGCTAACGCTGAACTGCAGTCTCTGAAATGGATGCACGCAACTGACGTAAGACTTAATACTGTGAAGGTCACAACTGTCATTACATGGCCAAGTCACGCATAGAACATACCAAATTCGCTCATCCGAGGTCATCTGAATGCATGAGAGCTCGTCTAATTGCAACAGAAGGACAGTTCGCCCTCTTCTGTGGATAATGCCCATCATTTGTGTGCTTTGCGACACTGAGCCGGCGCCCTGCAGTCCCGCGTGCCGCAGCTCGGCAGCCGCACCAGGGGCCCGGCATGCCGTTAGGCCTGCAGTTCAGCCCGCCGCCGGCTCGCACCAAATGGCGGGGGTCTAATTAGCGGCGCCCCCGCACCGCGTGCCTGGGGCCGGGCACGACTACTGGGGCCGCCGGAAAGATGCGATGATTGGACTGCTAGGCCCGGCACGAACTCACTTCCCTCTCTGGCGTGTCGATGATACGTGTTATCTGACCGCCACCGGTGTTTCTCGGGGGGGGGGGGGGAGGGGGGAGGGGGCGTTACGAGTAAGAGTATAAGTACATCTGCTTGCTCGCATTCGCATCTTAGGGTTGTCCACGTCACGGGTGCACGGGTGCACGGGTGTCATACAGCACGGGTGTCATACAGAACTTTAAAAAACGGCAGAAGGATCGGGCAGAGCAGTCAGATGTAGAAACTGTACTTAAAGGACGTGTTTCAATCAGTGAGCCACAGCACATTTCTTTGAAGCATGACGAAGCTCATACGTAGCCTATTGACCACACCTGGGGGAGGGGAATGAGCAGGAACTGCACCAGGCATAGGCAAGCCCTCAGAACCGAGCCTGCAGCGGCCTGTCCACGCCCGCTATCTTGCATTGGTGCGATACCTCGGCATATGCGGCGGCAGTTCTGCCTGGTGCTGCGCCCGCTCAGGGATCCGTTTGTGTGGAATGCACCTTCTGTGACCTCGGGCTCACCACGCGTCAGCGCCTGGGGTAGCGTGCGCAGCGTCTGGCTGGTCTCGAAGCGTGACCCTGGTGGGAAGCCGACACTCCCTGTGTGTCCGTGAGTGTAAGAAAAGACTACGGCTGGTAAATCCCGTTTAGCTGAGGGTTTTCAAGGGGGCGAATGTTCAGCAGCGTCGGGTCACCTTCTGGGATAGATGAAGGAAATACGGGAAATCCCTGTCAGTAGCCGGTAAAATGCGATCTGCGCCAAACACGAGGAATGTTTCTGTGGTGTTCAGAACAGAAACCGTGCTATATCGAAGAGGGAAGGTGATTTAATTAGAGAAATATCACAATAGAACTGTCGTTGCCCATGCGCTTCTCCGGCTTCACTGACGCGTGTATGACATAGGTCGGCAGGAAGCTGGGAAGGCTAGAAAAAAACCCAGATTCACTAGACTAAAGGGCATTTGTCGTCAGCAGGGCATAGCAGTGTGACTTCTATTATAGATCATATACACAATAAAAGTCTGTATATATTATATATGATATACATATTTTTAGTTAATCTTTTCCAACAAGGAAACCATGTTACTTTTTTATCTTAGCAGGGAGTAACCATATTTCCCTGCGACATCTCTAAGCACATCACACCACTGATTCTGTACCTGGAGAGGTGACCGAGCGGAGGCGGCTTCCGGTGCCGGCCGACACATCACAGTACTGATACCTGGAGAGGTGGCCGAGCGGAGGAGGCTTTTAGTGCCGGCCGACACATCACAGTACTGATACCTGGAGAGGTGACCGAGCGGAGGCGGCTTCCAGTGCCGGCCGACACATCACAGTACTGATACCTGGAGAGGTGACCGAGCGGAGGCGGCTTTTAGTGCCGGCCGACACATCACAGTACTGGTACCTGGAGAGGTGACCGAGCGGAGGCGGCTTCCAGGCCGGCCGACACATCACAGTACTGATACCTGGAGAGGTGACCGAGCGGAGGCGGCTTCCAGTGCCGGCCGACACATCACAGTACTGATACCTGGAGAGGTGGCCGAACGGAGGCGGCTTCCAGTGCCGGCCGACACGTCACAGTACTGATAGTGCTGATACCACTGATACCTGGAAAGGTGGTCAAACGGAGGCGGATTCCAGTGCCGGCCGACACATCACAGTACTGATGCCTGGAAGGTGGCCGAGCGGAGGCGGCTTCCAGGCCGGCCGACACATCACAGTACTGGTACCTGGAGAGGTGGCCGAGCGAAGGCGGCTTCCAGGCCGGCCGACACATCACAGTACTGGTACCTGGAGAGGTGGCCGAGCGGAGGCGGCTTCCAGTACCGGCCGACACATCACAGTACTGGTACCTGGATAGGCGACTGAACGGAGGCAGCTTCCAGTGCCGGCCGACACATCACAGTACTGATACCTGGAGAGGTGGCCGAGCGGTGGCGCCTTCCAGCGCCGGCCGGCTCACCTGGAAGGTGGCCACGTAGTCGCGGCTGTAGGCAGTGTACTGGGTGGCCTTGTGGCTCAGACGGTGGTGGCAGGCGCGGCACAGTTGCTCCTTGCCGTTATCCCAGTAGTCGCCGCAGGGCTTCTGTGAGGCGGAATGACCCGATCCAGTCGTGACACAGTGGCGGGGAACACAGACGCCGATGTCAGCTTTGCCACCCAGTAAATCTGACTCCCGTTTAGATTGCAGGGCATTGCTCGCCTTTAGCGCTCCGACAACTAGGCTGCATTTGATTCCAGACCGTAATGGTTTTGTGGTCCCGTTGTGCTACTACTGATAGCCATTTCGTACACATTATTGAAGGTTCTGTTTATTGCCCCCTCCGGCGCTCACAAAAATCGAAAGCGATTGCTTGGCAATGCGCACCGTACTGTGGCACCCGACGAGCCAGACCGAATGGAGCTGCAAGCGTGCGGCGTACATGCACATGGTCTCGACAGCTGTCAGGGACCAAGATTTAACGGCACGACACCCACTTCAAATGGTTCTCCAGCAATCTGCAGGCCTTATTTTTGAGCCGAAAGCATGATCGCATCGTGCAGCTATGTTTCATGTCACCCTGATGAGCCAAGGACATAGCATGCAGCTACATTTCCGAAATTCTTGGGTGTGCTTATCTTGCCTGATTTGTAATGTGCCGCATCGGCCTATCGTTTTCGTTTCTAGCAGCATAGTTTCATAGCATGACAACACCAGCCTGCTGCTATCGCCCTAGATTACCTCGTTTGCAATGTTTTTCGGCAATCCAAACGAACGACCACAACGATATGATTGTGTTGGATGTGCGAGGAATCGTAACGTTTGGTCAGGTAAAATGAATAAATCAATGTCCTCACGTACCCTCATGAAAAGGTCACGGCGGTCATATGTATTGGTTTGAAATATATATATATATATATATATATATATATATATATATATATATATATATATATACATATATACATATATATATAATATACATATAGACACATATATATATATATATATATATATATATATATATTTATATGTATATATGTTTATTGTATGTTATGAGTGGTCCATCTTGTGCTTTCTACCACTTAGCGACGTTCATTAAGTTTGTGCGCGCATGCCGCGGATTCCATCTCCCTTCACCGTCTTGACTGAGACCACATTTATCCACGGACATGGAAACTATGCTGCTTTGGGGGATCAAGGGACTTGAGCAATAAAAAATGAGAAAGTTTAGCTCCAGGTTTGCGCAGTGAATGGAACGGAACGACTCCAAGTGCCACTGATCCCCCTCCCCATCTTGGACAAACTCCTGCACCCCTTCGTATACTCTAACAGAAGCCCACATGGCCGCCTCCATCGCCAGCGCGCTGACCTGTTCACACACGTTGCAGACGTCCTCGTTGGTGACGACGCACTTGACGCGAATAGATGGCAGCACCCGCGTCTCCCCGCCGAAGTTGTGCGCGCGGCGCAGCTCGCGGCGGATCCGACATTCCTCCGGCCGGTAGTTGCCCGGCCTGCGGTCAGCAGCGGTCAGACCTCGCCACGCCCTGCCCCCGCCCCTCCCCCTCCCGCACGCACAGCGGCCTTCCCACACCGACGGCCGGCCGGCCGGCTCACCCGGGGGTACAGGAGGCGTCCTTGGCCTGGCGTGGGTTGTAGAAGCGGTCGGCTCGCCGGTCGAACGGCGCCTCCGTGGCCAGGCTGCGCTGCACCAGCAGCGGCCAGGGCCGTGACAGGTCGGCCTGGTGGCGCGTCGGCGACGGCACGCGTTCCAGCAGCTCCTTGGGCGGCCGCGCCTCCGTGCTGGCGCCGAACATGGTGCCCCGCGTGCTGCGAGTCTGCAGCGGAGGAGATGGCGGGCTGTTTCACTAACGTGTACACCTTACACGATTTTTAAGTGTAGGTCCGTTTCTCCTTGTGTCGGTGGGGGACGTGTGTCACAAAAACACCCGACTGTGTATTGGATTAACCCACATGACATGTGGCTAAAGGGCAAAATACTTGAAGCGAATTTGAAGTATGTAAATAATCATGGAACAGAATCACTTTTAGTGCTCCAAGTCAGGTTTTCTTCAACTGAAGGAAAGGCCCCGTGATTTAGGACATTTCACTGCAAAGCAATACCAGCAAGCTGACACCATGAACTGCTCTCATGCCTGAAACGCCTCGAAATTGCGATCGGTACATGAGACAGCGTATGGCAGCGATTGCTACATGAGACCTGGCATAACCCGTGCGCCCTCCCCATCATCGGCGCTAGTGGACGATCGCCGTGCCGTCTCGAGCGGTGGTGACGTCAGCGCCGGCTCCAGTCAGCTCACCCGCTCATCCAGCTGGTGGATGAAGCCGGTGCGCTCCTCAATCGGGTACTTGCCCGGTGCCAGCTTCGGGCGGAAGTCGCGGCTGAGCAGGATGCCGAGCCGGGTAGGTGGCGCTGCCGTCGGCAGGTTCGGCAGCAGGGGCCGCTCCTGGATGGAGCCGAACACGAGCCGAGGGTCCGGCGGGTGGTACAGGCCCAGGCTGATCAGCACTGTCGCAGGGCAGCAGCTCCGGTCAGTCTCAATCTCCCGTCAACACGAGGTTGGCAAACCTTATTTTGGTGCTGACAGATGGCACAGATCATCCTAAAGTGAGAGAGACTCATCTCCTCGTAAGTTACTTCTGAAAACCGTACACTTACAACGTGAGCTGTACTTGCAGTTAAAGTTAAATGCTTGCAAATGGGAAGTAAATATTTCAAATATGTGTTTTTGACCAATCAGGGTTTGGACCCTGTGTCAAGGCAAGTCAAACCTAACAACGGTCTAACTCTCGGGTTAACAGTACGCAGTTCATGATGTGGATGCCAAAAATTTGGTTTGGTCTTTAAATACTGCCTCGCCTGGTTTGAGCACTTACCTTCCATGGTTATTCAGCTGACGCTTTCAAAACATGTTCATACTTGTGTCACAAAAACACCTCGCTCTCACGAGGGCTTTTGATAAAGATTCCGTACCTGGTGATTCAACAAAAACAAAGTTGATGCGACGCCCGTGTGACATTATTATGTACCATTGCTTAAAAGCAGTAACATCAGAAAGGAGTTCAGAGCGGTAATAAATAACCAGTATAGACATGACCTGATGCAAGCAGAAAAGACCAGCGATCACAAAATATATGACGTCATCAAAGATTTCTACCGATAGAATGAAGTATACGCATAATAAATGATGGAAAAGGAAACATGGGTATAGCACAGTGACAATTTTGACACAGTCTGTTCGGCCCGATGTGACGCGTAGCCCTCCTGTTCAACCACTCACCGTCAGTTGCTGCCGGTCGGTCGCGGAGCAGTGTGGGTGGTGAGGGTGATTGATCAATATGACCTAATGAAGGGCGTGTAGTAGGACTCTGCCGGACAGCACACAAGGATAGAAACGGGGTGGAGGATCTGCGCTAAATGCGACGCGTTTCCGATTATGCCAGTACGGTTTTTATATGAGCATCGTGACCTAGCTACCCTGATGACTTCCTCGGTAGGAGACACAATCCCGTGTGCCATTTTGCTCCCCCAAGAACGCGGAATATATTCTCAACCGGCTCTGACTGCTAGTGCCATCTATTTCGCACCATCGCAAAAATTGCAACAACCAGCCTCTATCGCGCTTTACGGCAGCTGTCAGTACACACTGAGCAGTGCAGATGTCGCTAGCGTATGGTAGTCGCCCGTGGCCGCCGGCCGGTCTTCGTTTCTCCGGCGTGCTCCAGTCGCCGTTCGCTCTCAGACTGTGGTGGTTCGGTGCCCCAGTGATCCACATTCCGCACAGCCTCCAGGTGAGTGCACCTGGCCCCGGGTTTGGTCCAGACGCACCCCAAAACGCGCTGGAGGCACCCTGCGTGTGCGTGTGCTGTCGACGCTCCCGCTGTCCACAAACGTCCAGTGCACATGATCGGCGAATGTGTTCCACTGGCTCGCACACGAGTGTCTCAAGCCGTTTCCATAGCTCATCAGCACTCGCACCTCGAGCCTTGAACCCCTCGGAATGGACTGCGTGCTCGTACTGCGTGAGCTCTCTGTCTCGGTTCATGACGTCTACGAGACGAAACTTGACGTTCTGAACACTTAGGCTCGATGCAGCGTGCAGGTTCGTTATCATTCTTTCTCGTGCGGTTCCGCCCCCTCCAGCTCCCGCTCACTCTCCACAAGAGATGACTTACTCAGGCGGCTACTTTCGTCCCCGTGACTTTTGCAGTGTGCTCCGTTAGTGCGTGTGCTCTAGGATCTCATAGGATCCGCCATGGTGTCCCACCGTCACTGTTAAGCCTTTGGCGGTAGCACTCTATTATATATATGGCATAACATTATTTTTTGCTTCACAATGCTGTGATGTAGCGCTGAAGCATATTGATTATGATGAAAAGTTGTTGTATAAGATCATATGGAAAGTTGTTGTACATAAACTTTCGTGGGTACATGCTGTAGTTGAAACTGTTTTCTACCTAGAGCCCATCCAACCATTGTGGGGGCTCCAACCATGGGCTGCTGCATCTCAAAGTACTGCCTGTATTTTGCTTCTCCTCAGATGCTTGGGCTTGCGGGTGTCTCAGAAAAGCTATAGAAGGCAAACGAAACGCTTGGGTAATGATGTGCCGTCACCTGTAGTAAATTCTTACCTAATTTGGTCCTTCTCGGCTTTGCTATTCCTGGAATTGGTTTATGCGTGCTCTCACATCCGGCGTGCTGATCCTGGAGCTGCTCTAAGTATCTTGATCCTGGAGTCATCTGGTAGCCAGTAAATGACATCATGCTGACCTGGCACCGGCAGTATGACCTTGAGACGGTGGCCGGGATTGTCAGATCTTTATCACTCCTCCCGCCGCCGCCCCCGCCGCCATCCACACAGCGTGACCCCGGTCACCGCGCTCAGCTCGGTCGGGAGTGCCGTGTCTGGAGGCGGGCCACGCCGTCTCGGCCCCTGCCATAGATGCCTTGCCGCCACCGACAGCCGTTCGAGCAGCCGTGGAGCGTTTGTGTGAGTAGGCCAGCCATCTGCCAGCCGGCTCCCAAACGACGCCCCGGACGCGGCGTTACAAACAAGCCTGGGAAGGTTAGGCCTTCCATTTGAGACGCCTGGCTCCTGCCGGCGGTCTGCGGGGTGCTGACATGAGTGCATGTTCTGCAGTCGACCGGCAGCTTCCACCCTCGCCGCTCCCCGCGCGCTCGTCTTTTTTTTTGTCCAGTCTGCGCAGGCTGGCAGCTACACCGCTGCGGCGTCCCTGCCCGGCGTGACTCAAGCCGCTGTCCGTTGGCGGCTGGGGAGTGTCCGCAAATGACAAAGAACGGGAGTTGGGCATCCCCGCCTCGCTGCTAAGCCTGCACTGTCCTTCCTCGCTCCCTCCGCAGGCCACCATTATGCTGCAGCAGGCAGTGGTTAAGAGTTCCCTCGCCATAATTACGAGGCAAAAGGTAATCCCGCCTTCGGTGCCACATCATCCTCAACCGGCTGCTGTTGGAGGCTTGCCGTCGGTTTGCGTTCGAAGCAAGGCTGCTTTCATGCCTTTACCTCTCCGTACGCTGAACTCTGCTGTTAGCTGTTTTCTGGTCTCATGTTTTTGTAAACGTGATGCATGCTTGACGTTTCCGATAAGGAAGCATCTGAAGACGGAACTTATCGAATAATATGTTTCAGGTGTGGGTTACGAGATAAATAAGGACATTGTTATGATCTGACTGGGTTATTCATGCCCTTAAACTGGACGTCTGAATGAATCGTTCCCATTTTTAAATGTTTGCAAGTCATGCAGAATGTGCCATTCCAAGGGAGGGAAAAGAGGGCTATAGGTGTGATTTTGTTTATGGTTTTGTTTGCTGTCAGATGTCGCCACCATTTGCCGGCAATTTAGTATACTGCATGGGCATTCTCTACAGCCCGTGAACATTTCTTGAGTCATCGGCAAAACCCAGCTATGAATGCATGTGCGCCAATTTCAGTGGTCCTCACATGCCAGTTACCCGAGAGCGTGCGACATTATTTAACTGTTCCCGATCAATTTGCTGAAGTAGTTAGCAACCGAGAGCACCTGGCCATGGGTAGCCCCATGCCGCCGTGCGTGTTCCCATGGCCATCAAGGACTTCACTAATTAGCGGCGAGGCGCGCGTGAGAATCCAGGCGTGGGTAAAATGGCTCGAGCAGTTGACGGCCAAATAATTAATTATTTCGAACTGCAACCCAATCCCGTCGTAAGACCCACGAGAGCTTGAGCTTGTTGCCAGCAGGTTTTATTTCGAATCTTAACGTCTTACAAGCGCTGTATTTATGGCTGCTTTCCCAGCTGTCGGATTTTCAACAGACGTGTGTTGTATTTTTTAACTTGATGTGCTGATTTGCTCGCCTAATTGTCTTCCGTTAGCATGCGCCTGTATCATGCATCATTGGCCCCGACAACCCCGATTATATTGCAGAACGCAAGCTGTTTAAACGAGCCGGCACGGCTCATTCAGCGATACATTTCCGTTAATCTGCCCGTCCTAATCAACGTATTAAGCACTCATCGAGGCATAATCCTGTGTGTTCTACACACGTGCCTTCCTGTTCATCCCATACCGGCATGACGCAGAGTTACGCGATGACGCAGGTCACGCAGTCGCGGTCACTTCCGTTGGCCAGATTTTATTGTTTGTGACCGCCACCGCCGCATAAAGTCGCCACAATGTCATTGTTATTCCGGATCAAGCCAGGGGCAACGCGCAGCGGCAGTCAGAGCCTTTAGGCAAGCATGAATGCGTCATTCGCCGTGATGTCAAGGCCGTCGGACGGAAGGCTAATCCTTCTTAAAGGCTTGTGGCAAACCATCACGGGAATTAGCCAGGACTAACAGTTGTTTGGGCAGATGCACCGTGGTCTGCATTACGCTTGCACGAGCTTTTGTATGGTCGGCACGGAGCACGCAATTTACGCCCTTACGCACACATCACAAGACTGCATGGCAGGACAGTCTACAAACGAAACAGTTTTATGCTCCTCCTTAAGTGAAATCACTTTTATAATAGGTGAGTGGAAATATTAGGACTTTAAGTAAATCCCTCCCACATGCATTACAATCATAAGCCTGATGCCCCCCCCCCCTCCCCCCCCCCTGTTTTAATCCGGGTGCCTTACCAAGCCGTTGCGCGGTTCTCAAATTTGGTGCATTGTCCTACCTATACATCCGACATATCCTGACACACTTTCGGTACTCCGTATTTCCCAGAGGCAGCTTCAGACCACGTCTGAAGTGGTACGGTTTTGTTTGATCATCGCGTGAACGGTAAAATTGTAGCCCATCCTGCTCTCCGTTCAGCGTCAGCACTGTTCAAAACGTGACGCAACATTAAATCGAATCACGGACCCTGCAGAGGTGTGCACTGACAGCGTATTTCCTGCTTCTAAAAGCCGGTGTCCGATTTAAGTCCTCGTGCCATCAAATACCTCAAAAAGCGCTGTTCCGCGTTGGCGGGCGTGGAGTCTTGGGGGTATGCAAGGACGCTAATGGGATGATGAATTAACGTTGGTCTTGGTCTCGAAATTAGTGTGAGATGTTTCACACGATAGCTCTCCGCCCACTGGCGACCATGCATTCCGTGGCAAACGTACAAACGCTGCGTAGGCGGAATTTAAAATGTCGGTGAAAGGTGTCTATCCCATACCACATACACCATCCGAGGAAAGGTGACATCATGAAGGAAAGGTGACACATGACATCTGCGGTGGCCACAGGTAGCAGCGGTGACTGCAGGAAGTGCCAGGGCGGTGACAGCTACAAGGGGTAGATGTGGGTAGTGAAGGGGTAGAGTGGTACTCGTTGATACGTAACCTAAAGCCGCGTCGCACAAGGCCCCCCTCCCCCCCCCACACCATCGTCGTGTGCCCGAGCCATATGCAAATATCCCGCTATTGGGTGTAACGGCGAAAAAGGCGCTACTAGCATCGCAGCAATTTGTATTCGAGAACAATTCAAAAATGTTTTTGAAATATGGATTTGGCTCACTGGAACCGTAAAATCGAAAGGGAAAAGAGATGAAGCGATTTAATGATTCACCTAGATGACAGAAAATATTTTTAGTCACCAATCTATCACCACCTGAATGCGCCATGGGTGTTTTTTGAAGTTGTTGTTCATATAGTAGTTAGTTTAGAGCACGGCTTCTGTTCTAAGCTGAATTTTCCAAATCGTCTCAATGTACATTGAGGCAGCGAGGGGAACAAAACGAGATTTACCTCATGAAATAGATCTTACTGGGAAGATTCGGGGGATTTAAGTAGGTCCGAGTTCACATATATAATGAGCCGTATGACGTTTTATCCATGGTTTGTCTGGACGTGAGCGTTACCTATTAAGTTTCATGGCAGGTCTAAGTTTACCGGTTATGAGAACCGTAAGCCATTCATGTCTCGCTGATGT